GACTGTTGCTTCCATATGCGTTGATTGTGGAACCAAGTAAAATTGAAATCCTTGACAACTTATCTTTTCTATGTTTATTAATTGCTGCTGCTACTATGTGCCATCAAGTCAGCTCCAACTCCTAGTGACTCTGCATAGGGTTTCCTAGGCTATAAATCTTTATAGGAGCAGAAAACCTCAGGTTTCTTCCAGGAAGTTGCTGGTAGATTCCAACTGTGGTTAGTAATCCACATGTAAACCACTACATTACCAGGGCTCCTTCCGTTTATCGTTGTTGTTGTTGTTGTTCAGTGCCATTGAGCCGGCTTCTGTATGGGGTTTCCAAAGAGTGGTTGGTGTGTTTGAACCACCGACCTTGTGGTTCAAACCAACCTTGCACTTTGGTGCTTTATCCCACAGCATTTATCATTAGAGAACTAGAAATCCTAAAAAAGCCAAATTGTATTTTTGCTACTCAAGTCTAAGGTAGAGAATGGAAGACTATGATGTTGCCCCCAAAACAGAGATGATGCTCATAAAAATAGAACCACTACGTTTTTTTCTACCTTGTTAAGCCAGCAAAGCGTCATGGGAGAGCGCCTCATCTTCCCACCAGTTCCCTTTAGTTGCTGCACCTACATTCTTCTGAGCCAGTTGCAAAAATAGTTCCAATCTAAAGACATGTGCTGGCTAGAACTGCTTTTAAGGATTGGCCAGCATTCCAGAAGAGCTTATAGGTCAAAAGAAGAAGAAAATTCCTTCTCCCATTCTCAGTCTTACATAAAATGGTGGCCAGAGGCCAATTCCTGTTTGTATTTTTTCATCTATAAAAGTTCAAAATTTGAATCTATTATTTATTATCTGTTTCTGTACTTGATAGTTTCTGTTTATGTTCTGAGCAAATGCTCTTCCCTTCTATGTGTTACTTATTGTTTGTTTGTTTGTTTTCAAATGTATCTAAAAGGCAGATTTTATTACTGGATTGAGTTAAACTATACCTTTAAATATAAATTTGCAGACTCCCCGAACATAAATGTGTAACTATTGTCCTTTGTTGCTATTTCAAAGTATTTTCCATAGTACATTAAATCAGTTACAATATGAAAACGAATTTGCTCTTGAAATTCCACTTACTAACACTTACTACTTAGAAGAGTTTGTGACACAGCCAATTTAATCAGGCTTCTTTCTTTGGTTTTCATGTCTTTTTTAATTTTTCTGTGATTTTTAGTAAGTTTATAGTGATATGATTCACATATCATATAACTTACTATTTCAAGAATACAACTCAGTGATTTTCAGTATACTCACTAAAAGG